CCCCTATTCGGTCGGGGGTAATTCCGAGACCGGTCCCGTGGTACCCCCGCCCTCCTTCCCGTTTCCCCTGTCATTCGATTTTTAACTACGGGAAGACAGCAACCGTGTTCGGCGATATGTGGCATCAGCGCGAGTGCCGCGCCTATCTATCACTTCTACCCGTGTCCCTGCGTCCGTGTTTTAAACTATGGGGAACGCAGACCCCTGCTAGCCGGTGTGTGTCATCGGATTCCCTTTACGGGAAGAGCCGCGACGAACCACCTCCCCTACCCGTGTTCCTGCATCTGAGTTTTTAAGCTGGGGGTAATGCAGACCCCTGCTGGCCGATGTGTGTCACCGGATTCTCGCAGGCGAGAAGAGCCGCGACTATCCGTCTCCTCTACCCGGCTACCTCCGGTTTTATATTAGGCAGAGGCGAGGTATATCCTCTGGGTTGAGCCTGCAAGCCCCTCGTACGCCACGAGAACCGTGGACACTAAGGCGACTCCGGCCCCTAATGCCTACGCGCCCCACACCCTCAGTGTAATCCCCCGTCCCTCCTAACGGCTCCAAGTTCCCACCGATGTTCCGTTTCGCGACCGACGGAACAATGTAACCAACGCTCCGTTATTTATCCAGGGGGAGTGACCGACCCCTGTTGGCGGTATACGGCACCGGCCGGAGTCTTTTACGTAGAACTCCAGCCTCGCTAATCTACCTGTCCCTGCCCGTGTCCCTGCATCCGAGTTTTCAGCTAGGGGGAATGCAGACCCCTGCTGGCCGGTGTGTGTCAGCTGCGACCCACGATAGGGTCGGTGACTATTCACCTCCACCTACCCGTGTCCCCTCCTCCGTTATTATTAAACAGAGAGAGGCGGACCTCTGTTCGCGAGCCCCGGTTGCGAGTGTTACCCCGCAACGGGCGCACCCTCCTGCCCGGATGCGTCCGTTGATAAGAAGGAGAGGAGAAGAAAGGGGTTCCTCGGGGGACACGTGTCCCCCGCACCCACAGACCCGGGCCTCGAGTGACCAAGGTCTGCGGGCCCGGCCTACCCGTTTATTCCCCCATCGCGGGGACCCCTGCGGATTCGAGCAACGATGGTTGCTCGTCATATCTGCGCATGGGTGTCTGCCGGCGACCGCCCATGCACAGCGAGCTCCTCCGATTCATGACGGGGTGAGGAGTAACCCCGTTTCGCGTCTGTGGGGAGGCCCCATCGGAGGGCCATCTCCCAGCTGCTCTACCCGTTTCCCTGCCTTCGTGTTTCCTTACCGTAGGAGGAGAAAGGCAGACCTCCCTTTTGGCCACAGGGACGGTGGTCCGGTCAGACCCTCGCGTCCAAGCAGCCCTACCCGTGTCCCTGCCTGCGTTTTGCCTAACGAGACTGCTAAGTCCCGGCCAAGAGGGGCAGCTCCTGTTTGTCCACCGTAGTGGTGCCTACCCGTGTCCCTGCTTCCGATTTAGAGGGGGAGGCAGACCCCTTTTTACTGCTTTATGCAGTCCTGCCCGTGTTCCTACCTCCGGTTCGCCTCAACGGCCATGGAGAGGTAGATCCATGTTTGTGTGGCTCCGGTTCAGGAAAGCCTTTCCCTTTGCCACACGCTACGCCGCCGCGCCGTTTGCCTCCGCTCGAAATTCCCCCCAGCGCGAGACATCCTCCGTGTTTTAACAGGGGGAGGGAGCACCCCTAATCCTACCCGGACTCTTCCTCCGTGTTTTAACAGGGGGAGGGCGTGCCCCTGGCCGAGTTGGTCTACCCGTAGGATCATCCTCCGAGGATTAACAGGGGGAGGGCGACTCTTGGCCCAGAATGGGCCTACCCGTGCAAAACGTCCGTGTTTTTTATACAGGGGAGACGTG